TATTTAATATTAATAATCAAGGTTTATTATACTTGCTTTATTCATTCTTCTCATGCTATAGTGAAATCTAATTTCATATCTGTTTTTTATTTACTGCAGTTAATTTTTATCATAAATTATATACAAGGACGAATATAAGCAAGCTACAAACAAGCTAATATAAATTTCATTTTTTTTTATTTATATACATATTAAAAATTTTAAATTATACACAAGGGTTAAAGTCATGAAAAATTTCAATTTTATTGAAAAAATAATAAAAAGACACTAATATACAAATTAGAAAAAGAAATTATCAAGTCCAATATATTAAGTTTAAATGTTGGATTTCCAATTAGTATTAGCCTCTTGGTGTTTTTCCGTAGCTTCTTGGGGTGGCTCTTGGGTCGTATCTAAATAGAATTAGATGAAGGTTAGTCAAAAGTATGACTAAACAAGTTGAGAGACATTAGGAAGGACGTTCACAGCAGGCCGTCCACCGTACGCTGGGCCTACGTATCTAATCAGGTCTGGAATACCCACTCAGAATCAGATACCCAGGGCTGATACCCAATCAGATACCCCAACTGGTAACTTTCGCAAGCTGTGGCCACGAAGTGCTTCCAGTTCCTATTTAAGGCCCCAAATAACTTCCATAGACCCAGAATAACCATATACATTCCAGAATCAGTCCAGCCAGACTAATCCAAAATTTTAGGATAATTGTGAACCCCAGATGTAACCGAAGCAACCTAGACAGGCTCAATCCATATATACAATTATCCTAGAGCCTATTTCCATTGGGAGCACATGACTGGGTAATGAATCAATCTTCACATATGCAGGCCGTCCACCGTACGCTGGGTCTACACAGAAATCCCAAGTTCCGATACCCAACTGGTAACTTTCGCAAGCAACAAGTTCATGAATCATGTTTATGGGGACACAAGCTTCGCTTTAATCGGGACTTCTCAGTACTTGCCTTTATTACTAGTCTTCCTTTGGTTGCCATTTCGGCTTTACAATAAGTTGATGTCAGGTGTTGTTGATACAGGGGATTTGTCTTCATGTAGAATATTTTGAAAAAGAGGAAAAGAAAGAGCTTTTTTAATAAGAAAATGAATCTTGTGAACAAACGCGTTGTGAGTAAAATAATAACAAAAACAAAAAATAACAAACTAAAAAATAATAATAACAAACAAAAAAATAATAACAACACGAAAAAATAATTTATCATGGTATTTTTTTGCGACTAAATTAGTAATTTTTTTTGCAGATTTCATAATAACCAAAAAATCTTGTTTCATTTAAAATATTTGATTTCGAATACTTTATTATTATATTATTATTATCCATTCTCATCCTAATTTCGAACTTTAAATGATGAATTAGTTTCAAAAACAAATCAATCGCCCCGGGACACAACAATACAACGCAATCAACTTCAAGGAAAATTTATTATAACCAATCCAAAGTTCTAGATAGACTTATCTCCTTGTTGTTTCCAATTCTTGTACTTTGTCAAGAATTTCACTTATCGCTGCGAGGTAGCTTTTGGTTAATACCGATTGTTTTACATTTATGGTCGAGTTTGAATAGCTATGCTCGTCGATTAATTGCAAGCTTTCATATTCAATTAATTTATTTTTCCTCGGCAATCCGTAAGCACTTTATAGTAAATGTGGCCCTTTTAGAAAGCGACAATGTCTCTTCTAAAACTCCTTTTTTTACTTACTTTTACTTTCTTTGGCTGCTTAAAAACTTGGCTAATTTTCTTTTAACAGCCAACAGTTATTTTAACAATATGTTTGGTTAATAAATAACACTTTACGTTTACAAAAAGTTTTACACTTAACAAAACTTAAACCTTTGCTTCTTTACTAAGCAAAATAAAATATCGCTACCGTTGTTACGCTACAACATTAATACCGAGCCTCAGAGTTCTAATAACAAATCGACAATTAAACCCTACTGTTTAATGGGGTAGTTCTGAAATTAATCAACTGGTTGGAAAATGTGGTTATATTAATTAGCACAGCGGAACATCAAAGTACAGCTGGTAAAGATCGAATAGCTATGGGGACATTTATGTTTGCCGAATATCCTGTCTGATCTACTAGACTGGGCGCGTAAGGGATGGGGACTCAAGTTGGTGGCAACAACAATAATAACATTAATAATAATCAAATTTATCCCATTAATTTATTTAATTTATATATATATATATATATATATATATATATTTAAAATAAAATTCTACTTTATATATATTACAACTTAATGTCTTCTTCTTGGTGGACTTCTTGAACGTCTTCTATACCCACTACTACGTCTATCAGGTGACTTTGATCTTGATCTCCTATCATAATGTCTTCGTTCACTAAAAAAATAAAAATTTAAACCCTCTTTTTTTCTTTCAAATAATCCAATTGAGCAGATAAATAAATAAATAAATAAATTATTAGCTTACTATTCACTTCTCCCGCTGCTGCCACGATGATCTCGATATCTATCACGATCGTAACTACCACGATCTCTATCACGATCATAATAACTTCTTCCCTCATCTCTTAGGTCTGGAACAGCAGTAGCAACTTGGTCTCTATTTTTTTCTTTAAGTTCTTTTAACAAATCTCGAATTTTTAAATATCCAAGATGCATCTAAATTTTTTTTTTAAAAAAAAAAATATCCGGATAAATTAAATAATAATTAGATTGAATGATTGATTATTAGTTAATTGTAATAAAAAAGTACCTTTCCACCAAAATGATCAGCCAGCCTTATTTATTATTATTAAAATATTAATAATACGTTAATACAAATTTACATGTAAATAAATCAATTAATTGGATTTAATTGATTAAATTTTTTCACCTTCGATCTGAATCAAAAATTGATAAATAAGCACTACAAACTTCACAGACACGTAGTTTTTGTTGTTGTGAAGGACTTCCACCTTCCATGGTGTTCTTGAGTTCTTTCTGCATACATTAACAAATCATATATTAATTGTGGTGATGATTAAATAATTAATTAAATATTAATAACAATAAAAAAATAAAATATAGCAACCTCTTTATCTGCTTTTTGTCCTTTTTTTATATCAACTTCGTGTAATCTATCCATAGATTCTGTAACTTTGCCTTCTTCACCTGTAATCCCAAGATTCGAAAAAATTAATATTCATAACCCCATAAATAAACGAACGAACGAACAAACAAACAAACAATTCTTTACCGAGTACTTCAACTTCTTTAGTTAATTCTGATATTTCAGACGCTAGATTCTCAATCTCTTTGGTCTACACGAATATAAGTATTATAAACATACTCACATACAAAAAAAATATATATGTGAGATAAATAAATAAATAAGAAGAATACCAATTGAGTGATTTTAGCATTATCTTCGGGAGTTTTATCAAGACGTTTTTGTGCACCTGATATTTTTCTATCACAATCTGAAACAAAATTTCCTAGACTTCGTTCAAATTCCAGTTCATAATCAACTTCTTTTTGTTTCTTTGCCTCTTCATATTCCGATTTCAATTTTTCTGAATGAATTTTAGGACATGGTCCAAGATCCATTTTCTATATTATTATTACATATTAATAATAATATAATATAAATCTTTGTTTAAGAAAACAAGAAAAGTGTAGATTCAGAAATTCAAATAAATAAAAATAATAGCAATGATAGAATTATAATAGTTATAATATAAGGTTTCAACCGTATTTCTGTTTTTATTTTTTTAAAGATTTATTTTTTTAAAATATTATTAAATTTATTTTTTAATTATTTTGAATGAAAGAAATAAAGAATGAAGGGAGAAAGGAAGTAAGGAAGGAAGAAAATAGGAGAAAAAAAACGATAGACAATATTTGTCAGAAAGAAGGCCAGTTAGACATCTTTACTACTAATTTTGTAAGTTTTGAGACTATTGAAAGTGATAAAATTATTTAATAAAATAATTTAAATAAAATATAAAAAAAACATAAACGCGTACGTCTTTTTTTTTATAATATTTATTTATCTATTTAATTTTTACTATTTAATAAAGGAAAAAAAACTTACGTGAAAAGTTCATGTGGGCAAAGTCCACAAAGATGATTTCGACAAACTTTTTCATCACTATATTTCATATGATCTGGAATACCACCCATAGCTTCTGCTCCCATTAAAGCCTTATGTGTATATATATAGAGAATGACAAAAAATAATGTAAAAATTCAAATACATAATCTATCAATTTTCGTAATGGTTAATAGATACTAATTTTAACCAACTAACCTCTAAAGCTTTCCTAGCTTCTGCAGCCATTTTAACAAAAATATTTTTTTAAAAAGATCACAAAAAAGAAAATTTAAAGTTTTTTCCAATTCTATTACTATTTTATTCACAAACCAAATTTGGATTGATTGAAGATCATTGCTGCGTGCGTTGCAAGAATCATTCTCGCAAAATATTTTTTGAAAAAAAAAAATTACAGGGTATTCATATTTATAATATCCATGTATTATATACAACAATCATTAATAATAAATCTAATTATATATTTCATCTGGTATAGTTGATTCAATTTAGTTTGAATATACAAATGAAATATTCAGTAAATAAAATACTATTAATATATTGTATTTTTATGTTATTATACCGTTATTATTATAATTGCCAATTATTGTAACTTTATTAGAATTACAGGTTTAGGAGGAGGATTAGTAAAACTCAATAGTCTATATACTTGTATAACTTGCATATTGGTGAGTTGTTGCTGTTGTATGACTAAATTTAATTTTATTCATTTTATCAAATGCCTCTTTAATTAATTTTAATTTCTTAAGTTGCTCCTTTGAATAACCCATATAATTTGCTTTTATTAAATCGTCATAATTGAAAGAGCTAAGCCAAAAGTGAACCTCGTTATAAATATCATCAGCAATTGGACGTTTATCTGGATTTAGCATTCATGCATTTATATGTTAATTTAATGTAAAATTTGGGAGTGTTGCATGAAAATCCTGGCCGTAATCCTTGAATAATATTAAGCGCAAGTTCGCTATGATGAACAATGTCGTTGAAAGGTTGTCTACCTGTTGAAATCTCTGACATTATTATACCAAAACTATAAATGTCAGACTTCAATGTATAAGGTTTACCTATCAACACTGGGTGCAATATATGGCAATACCCATACGTAGTATTTGTAGTGCTATCATTGTTGTCTGGTGGTGACGATGATGATAACGAATCAGCTGGAATTGATAATCCTAAACTGATTACGGTTTTTGATGATATTTTTAGAATATTACCACTATGAAAATCACAGTGTAAAAAGTTATAGAAATGAATCTCTTTAGACCGCTAATGATTTCAGGAAGCATGTGAATTTTATGTTTCCATTCAATCAATGTCTTTAAATTCTGATTTCAAATATTTATGAAGATTTCCATCTTCTGCATATGGCATTGCTATAATATATTCTTTTGTTTTTGGATGTTGTGATACGCCATAAATATTAATAATATTTGAAAAACAATCATCAAATCCAAGATAATTTAACAGCTATTATTAATTACAGAGGGATATTAATTTGTTAATATTTTAATAGTGTATTATCGTTATTATTAAGATGATTTATCTCTTTTAAAAATTTATCAAACCCATTTTGTGATTTATCTAATCGTTCGAGCACAACTATTCGATCTTTCACCTTCTTTTATTATTATTAATATTTATATATTTTATACCATTTGTCCAAGTAGCTCTATATATGGTTGAAAATCCACCTTTACCTATCTCTCCAATATTTTTAAATTTAGCAAAAGAAATCCATTCGAGATAATATGCATTCTCGAATGATTTAGCATTAAGTTGAGTATCCATGATCAATTAATCAATCGCTTTATTACCCGCTGGTCCATCCTTGAGTCAACAGCTGTGGATCACATGATTTACACCATGAATAATTGGTATTATATCTATTACAAATTGAACATTTACCATATTTTTCTTTTCTTCTATTCGAAAATCCATTCATTCTCGGTATCGGTAACGACATCATTTGAAGAATCTGACATTTTTTTATTTCGAATTATTTCAAATCATTTGAATCGAGTGTTCTTAAATAGTTTAATTACGAAACAAATTAATAAATATTAATAAACATGTTTTTTTGGTATAAAATGAAAAAAAAAATATTCAAATTAATAAGAGAAAGAGTTTATTATTTATTTCCTTTTTTATAAAAAAAAATGTGCAAATTGTAAACTTTTAGAAATTATGTAATTTGGCATCGATCAACATTCATCATGCTATTATTTATTTTATGAAATCTTATGATTTTCGATCCAATCTTTTTTACACTATTTTCTCTATTCTTCTTTATTCTCAATTAACATATTTTAATAATATTTAATAATGGCACGAAAATTTTTTGTTGGTGGTAAGAATTAAAGAATAAAAAATTAATTGATTAATTACAATTTTTCTCTTAATATTACGATGCTTAAACAATCCATTTTTTTTAAATAGGTAATTTTAAGATGAAAGGTACCAGCCAAAAATTAAAAGAACTGGTGGAAAGGTTAAACTCAAATGATTTAAAGACTGATGTTGGTCAGAAAAAAAATTTTTTTTTTCAAAAATTAATAATTAAAAAAAAAAGTTAAACTAAATGTGAATGTGAATTGTATTTAATAGAAGTAGTAATTGCTCCTCCCGCAATATATATTGAACAGGTTCGTAATAATATTCGTAAAGATAATATTAAAGTCGCAGCTCAAAATGCTTACAAGGCAGCCGAAGGTGCTTTTACTGGAGAAATTAGGTATGACAGTTGGTTATTATTGTCATTGTCCTTGTTTATTTAATTATTTTGCTTACTAATACCAAGTGAATATATTAAATAGTCCTGAACAATTAAAAGATATCGGGATTGAATGGGTCATTTTGGGACATTCTGAACGTCGTGAAATTTTTAAAGAGTCGGATGATGTAAGTGGAATAATTGTCTTTTTTATTATTGGAAAAAAAAAATAGAGACTATTATTATTAATAATTAGTGATTTTAATTGTTATAATTGTTATAAATGATTCAGTTTATAGCAGATAAAATTGCACATGCATTAAAAGCGGGTGTTAAAGTTATTGCATGTGTTGGAGAAAAAGAAAGACTTCAAGATGATCCTAGTTTGACTTTTAAAGTCATAGATAAACAATTAAGAGCAATTGCTAATAAAGTTAATGATTGGACAAATGTTGTGATTGCATATGAACCTGTCTGGGCTATTGGCACTGGTTTATTTCCCACACCTGAAAAGGTATTATCATATATGTGTGGTCGTGGATATGAAATAATAATTTTAAATTTTATTTATATATACATGTGTGTGTATATATATATATATATATAGGCACAAGAAGTTCACGGATATATTAGAAACTGGTTAAAAGAAAATGTGTCAGAATCAGCATCCGAAAATACAAGAGTAATTTATGGAGGTAACAAAGTTATTACTACTTTTTATAATTGTTTTTTAAAAACATTATATTTAATTTATTTTTTATAATTAATTAGGATCTGTTGATGCTCACAATTCTTTGGAATTAGGTAAAAAAAACCTTTAAATTATTAATTATTGATTAATTAATCATCTAATTGTTTATTTATTTTCCATATTGTTATTATTATTAATTATCATAATATAGCAAAACAGCCAGATATTGATGGTTTTCTTGTTGGTGGGGCATCTTTAAAACCAGAATTTGTTGATATTATTAATTCTAAAATTTAATTTTGTTAAAAGATAGTGAGAAAAAAAAACCCCCCAAGTCATAAAAATATTATTTATATTTTATATCACGTGGTGTTATGTTAAAATAAATAAAAAATGTATTTTTTTCTTTTTTAAAAAAAAAATGAATCGACAAATCTTATCATCATCATCTTGGTTTAATGAAATTGAATTTTCCAAACTTGTTACTGAATTATGTCATCAAAAATATAAGTTAATTAATAAAAGTAAATCATCATCAGTACAAAATTACAATAATAACAACAATAAAGAATGGACTGTTTTAGCTGGAATAGTTTCCTGTACTGTCCGAGGTATTTCAAAAGTATTATTGATATTATTGGGCAGTAAGTAATATATTTTTATATTTTATTTATTTTATATAGTTATAGGGGAATATGACTTATCATGTGTATCAATTGGGTAATAATATAAATGCATATTTAATCAAAGTTTCTTCAAATATAATAAATATTTATATTTACACATGTATAAATTATTATAAGGAGCGGTTTAAAATGTTTATCACAGAACAAACTTTCAAAGAATGGTGACCTTATACATGATAGTCATGCTGAAGTTTTAGCTAAAAGAGCGTTTGTAAAGTGAGGAAAAATCAAGAATATAAATATATTTTTTTTTGACAAAAGAAACTTTAGACTCTTAACAAAATTATAATTATACAGATTTATTATAAATGAATTAGAGTTAGCACTGAGTTCTCAATCAGAATACTTTATTATGAATGATCAATTATCACAAGAGAAGAAGAAGAATAAATTCAAACCATTGTTTAAATTTAAAGACTCTTCTTTAACATTTCATATGTACATTAGTCAATCACCATGTAAGGCATTAAATAATAGAAGACAAAATTATAAATAAATGATGGATCACATCTAATGTTGTTATGCATATCTTAATAATATAGGTGGAGATGCGTCAACAATTCCTTTAGCTTCAAAACAATCATCACAAGATGCAGAAATATATCATAATTTATATGATAATATTACGAATAATAATAATAATAATAATAATAATAATAATGATAATAATAACGATAATGACAATGATAATCAAGAGGATCAAATGATTCAAGTTAAGCTTGGTAAGGATGGTTTTAGACGCGGAAGAATGGATTATAAATCTATTGGGGTTCTGAGAACTAAACCTGGTAAAAAAAATAAATCTTGATTATCACTATTATTATAATTATAATTATTTTATTGAAAATTGAAAATTGTTATACCTTTTTAATATCAAGGTAGAGCTGATTCTGAGCCAACTTTATCAATGTCATGCAGGTTAATTAATATATAATCTTGAGTCATTATATTATTATCACTATCATTGTTAATAGATTCTTTTTGATTACGATAATGATTAATTAAAGCGATAAATTGGCTCAATGGAATGTTGTTGGATTACAATCATCTCTTCTCTCAGAACTTATATCGCCGATTTATTTATCTACAATAATAATTGGTGATTTGTTTTCCAAACAATCTTTGGAGAGAGCTTTATTTGAAAGAATCCAAGGATTACAAAGTATTATCATCGATATTTATTTCTTTATTATTTAGACCAAATTATTTATTAAAGATTTATTTATGAAGGTTTACCTTATCCATATTCATGTAATATTCCAAAAATAATTCAATCAACCCAAGAATTTGACGAATCATTTAATTACATATCAAACCAATTTCCTCAAGGAAAAATTGTTACATCAAACATTGGTAAATTGTATATATTCACCAATACAGAGAGAAATTGCTGTGAGACTTATATAAATTTATTTTATTTTAGCAAAAGTTTGGCTCAAAGGTCCTTCAAACAACATTGAATTTCTTGTAAATGGTCGAAAACAAGGTGCATCCAAATCAAAACTTTCATCTAAAACAAGGTAAATGGGTAATAGTTGCTTATCTCGGATCTTTTGCATAAATATTGATGAATTTTCGGTTTTTTTTAACAAAATTAAAAAAGGAGTTTGGTATCAAAACTATCATTATTTAAAAGTATTGTAGAATTGTTAAGTAAAATCCCATCTGATCTTGTTTCCGATGATTTAAGGTTATTTTTATTTACATAAATATGAAATGGAGGAATTTTAATTGACAATAGTTATAATTATTTTCCACCTTTAACAATTTAGAATAACAAAAGAAATATCTTATCGAGAATTCAAATCAATTAATAAAGATTATCAACTTGCCAAAAAATGCTTGAGAGAACAAATATTTAAAGAGTGGATTAAATGTCCAAGCGAAATTTATGAAAATTTTAGCATTTAGAATAATTTGTTATTTCAATCCATCTTCTCTATTCAATGAACAATAATTATAATTGTTTTATTACTTGTATTAACAAAAAAGATTTGATCTTTCAATTAAAATGAAATATATTTATATAAAAATGCGCAGGATTTGTGCTGAAATATTTTTGGAGTGGCCAGAGTTTCAGAATTGATATTTAGCTGTAAAACAAGTTGCTCGCCGATTGAATTTAAAAAGGCCTGAATCATTTCAAATAACTTTTAGTATGTCACTCCCGTGAAACACATTTTTATTAAAAAAGTTTATAAAGAGTGAGAATTCGCTGTGGTCGTAAGTTAATAATTAAAACAATAATAATAATAATAATAGAGAATGAATTTATTCAATTATGGCAACATATTTTGGATACTGATGGTTACTTTTCTTTTAATTGACTAAATATAGTAATAGTTCTTCAAATAGCACTTCTTATACCTCTTTCTAATGCTCATATAGAAAGAATATTTTCTCGAATGAAATTAATTAAAACAATTTGAGAAATAAAATACATTAAGATGATCATTAATGGTTTTATTAAATAATCCAGGAATTGAACATTTTGATTTTTTAAAAGCATATGAAAATTGGAAAAGTAAAAAAACAAGGAAAAATATTTAATTTAATCTTTTATTTTGTAAATTATTTCTTCATAATAAATGATTCGAAAGTAGCGTCTCACCATAGACTCGCATTGATAGAAAATGGAAAATGTCACCGCTTTTATATTATCGGTTACACTGATTCGCAGACATAGAAAAAAAATGTCGTCGGTTACACTTGATTCGCATTGCATTATCGGTTATTATTATTATTATTATTATACTATAATAATAATAATACTGATGAAAAATTTAAAAAGTCACCAATAATAAAATTAAAAAATTTAAAATGAAAAATCATAATAAAAATAATAAAAAAAATTCCTTGTGATTCACGTCAAAAACGTTTTACTACATACCCCAACTTTCAAGAATTTGTCAATGCTAAAAAAGTTATTTGTAAATGTGGTCAAATTATTTCACTTGGAGTCAATTATCAAGTGTTTGGGCAAAAGCATTATGTTTTATGAAAAATGTGGGCAAGGACATTCATGGGTAGAAAAGCCTGCAGGATTTTTAGATCATTTATCATATATTTCTATTAAGGCCTATCTCTCTGTATCACGATGGTATTTTTCATATGAAAATACATTACAATTCATATTACACCACGAGAAGTAATTTATTTTTTGGGAATACGTTCTTATTCTAATATCAATCATTGTTTGATTGCAGTAGATGATGAAACATTTTAATTTATAATCATTTTAGTCAGTCAAGTATGGTGCAAGTCACCTAGTCCCGCAACTTGCTGCGCCTTGTGGCCAATTTTGGGAAAAATCATCAAAACTCAGAAATTGTAAGTTATGCTCAAAAATGCAATAAAATTTTATATCATG